AATCCTGATGCCACATTCTTTATAAAGTCCAGCTTCTCAAATGATTTGTTCAGCATACAGAAAATGATATGGCATGGAGAAAGGACACAGCCCTAGTGCACACCTCTCTCGATTTTAAACCATGTGTTCCTTTGATCTGTTTGGACAACAGCTTGTCTTGGTATGTTTCACATAAGCACAAGTTAGTGTTCTGGGGTTCCCATTTTTCACAATGTTAGCCATAATTTATTGTGATTCACATAGTCATATCCTTCTGCATAGTCAATAAAACACAGACATCCTTCTGGTATTTTGTGCTTTCTGCCATGATTCTTCTGACATCAGCACCAATATCCCTGGTACTATACAGCCTCTTAAAAATTCAGCTACTTTCTGGCAGTTTTCTGTTGTTGTACTGTTCCAGCCAGTTTTGAATGATCTTAAGCATGATTCTACTTGCATGTGAAATTTATGATACTGTTAGAGAATTTCCACATTCTGTTGGATAACCTGTTGGAATGGGAACAAATATGAATCTCTTCCAATCAGTTGACTAGGTAGCCATTGTCCCGATTTCTTGGCACAGGCCGGTAAGCATGTCCAGGGCTGTATTTGTTTGCTGAAATGTATCAATTGGCATTCCATCAATTCCTAAGCCTTATTTATTGCCAAGACCTACCATGTTGCTCCAATTTTTTCCTTCATCATCATCAGATCTTGTTCATTTGGTACTTCCTGAAATACTTAATTGTTGACAAATTCCTTTTGGTACAGTGACTTTGTGTATTCCTTCCATATTTTCGGGTTGCTTTCTGGATCACTCAAGATTCCCCCCCCCCAGTATTAGGCAAAAAATAAGGCCCCAGGAATTGATAGCCTGCCAACTGATATATTTCAAAAGACACAGCCCTAGAAACGCTCATCAAGTTGTGCCAAGAAATCTAGAGGACAACCCCTGCCCAACTGACTAGAAGAGATCCATATTTGTTCCCATTCTTAAAAAAGGTGATCTGACAGAGTGTGGAAATGATCCAACAATGTCATTAACGTCACATGCAAGCAAGATTCTGCTGAAAATTATCCAAAAACGACTGGAACAGCACATCAACAAAGAATTGCAGCCTGGGCTTAGAAGAGGCTGTGGCACTAAGGATATTATAGTCAATGTTAGATGGATCTTGGCTGAAAGCAGAGTATCAGAGGAATGTCTATCTGTGTTTCAATGACTATGCAAAGGCATTTAACTATATGGATCACAAAGAAAGTATGGTTAACTCAGAGAAGAATGGAATCCCAGAACATTTGATTGTGCTCATGCAAAACCTATACTTGGACCAGGAGGCAGTCATCAGAAGAGAGCAAATAAACATGCATTGTTCAAAATCAGGAATGGTGTACACCAGAGAGGTGTGTGTATACTATCTCCATCTTGTTGTTGTTAAGTGTTGTTGAGTTGTAGATGACTCATAGAGACCCTGTGAACGAAAGACCTGAACACCTGTATAACTTGAATCGTTTCTCCAAGTTCATAGGATTTCTGGCGGCAAGCTATTTCAGAAGTGGATGCTCCTCCAGCTTCCAAGCTTGTTTTAATCGGGGAGCTCCACCAAGCACTGTCCACCTGGGTAACCATTATCACATTTGACACATCAGTGTCACAGTGTTCAGTATTACAGCAACCATGAGTTACCTTGGTACAGCAGATGGACAGACAAGACTTAGAAGAATGTTTGACCATACCTTTTAAATATGTATGTGTAACAGATCATCCAGCCTAATTTCTATCACCAAGACTGTAGTTTTCAACTATCCTCCTCTCTTCTTTGTTCCCAACTTTAGCATTCCAGTTACCAATTTTTTTTTTCTTGTTGTGTACCATCAAATAAGATCCAACTGCCATAGGAGGAGATTGCCCCCCTTTCTTAAGCAGAGAATCTGGTGGATTCGAGCTGCATGCCTTCAGGATTACAGTGCAGCTTCTTGCCACTAGTCTACCAGAGCTCGCTTTTACCAGTTATTAATAATAAATCTGGATTGTTTGTTCAACCAATTTCAGATTACAACAGTAGGTCAAGTTGCCTGTGATTCATTGCAACCTTATGTACAACCTCTCTGAAGCCTGCCCTTTCCTGAGCCAGTCCCACTGACTCTGACATACCTGCACCCATTACCCCAGTTACTGTATTAACCCAACTCATCCGAGGTCTTCCTATCCTGCAGAATCCCTCCACTCTTCCAAGTACAATGTCCTTCTTCAAGGATTGGTCCCCCCTGGCGATACACCCATATGCGGAGCTATAAAATCCTAGCATCCAAGGAGAAACTCGGTTTCATCCTCTCCAAGAAAGACCTATTTGTTTTCTTGGCAGTCCGTGGTATGTTCAAGACTCTTCTCGGAACCACAATTCAAAGGCATCAATTCTTCTTTTGTCATCCTTAATCACTGTCCAGTTCTCTAATGCATAGCAAGTAATTGTGAAGACCTTGGCCTAAATAAAGCACATCTTAGTCTCTAGACTGACACTTTTGATTCTCAATACTCTGGAGAGGTCCCTGACAGCAGATTTTCCCAGTGCAATTCATCTTTTGGTTTCCTAACTACTGGAGCCAACGGTGTTGATTGTGGAGCTGAGCAAGCTGAAATTAACAACCTATATCATTGCCATGGGAAAGTCTGCTGTTAGGAACCTCTCCAAAGTACTGAAGAGCAATGGTGTCTCTTTGGAGACTAAGGTGCATTTGATACAGGCCATGGTCTTCACAATCACTTGTTCTGAATCAGAGAGTTGGACAATGATCAAAGAGGATAGAAGGAGAATTGATGCCTTTGAGCTGTGGTGCTGGAGAAGTATTGAGAATACCATGGACTGCTAGGAAAACAAACAGATTTGTCCTGGAAAGGGTTAAACCGGGTGGCTCCTTGGAGGCAAGGATTCTGAGGCTCCATCTAACATACTTTGGACATGTTGTGAGGAGAGACCGGTCCTTGGAGAAGGACATCATGCTTGGGAGGGTGGAGGGATGGCACAGGAGGGGAAGGCCCTCTATGAGGTGAACTGATTCAGTGACTGGGATAATCAGGATGGGAGTGTCAGAGACAGTGTGATTGGCACAGGACAAAGCAGAGTTTAGGGCTGATGTACATAGGGTCGCTATAAGGTACAAGCGACTCGCTGGCACATAACAACAATAACATATCACTTCTCCATCTATTATGGTGCTGCCAATTGGCCCAGTTGTGAGAATCTTTGTCTTCTTGACGTTGAGCTTTAATTCATATTGAAAACTACAGTCCTTGACTTTCTGTAGCACATGCTTCAGGTTCTCCTCAGTTTCAGCAAGCAAGACCTAGGTTGTTAATAAGTCTTCCTCCAATCCTGATGCCACATTCCTCCTTATAAAGCCCAGCTCCTCTGAATGATCGGTTATGCATATAAATTGAAAAGTTACAGGATGCATCCCTGACAACTCCTTTCCTGACTGTGAACCATGTACAGTTTCCTTGCTCTGTTTTAAGGACTGCTTCCTGGTTCATTTTATAGGTTTCACATGAGCACAATCAACTGTGAATAGATTCCCCATCTCCTCAAGGTTAGTCACAATTGCCATCCACGCAGTCAAATGTCTTTGCATAGTCAATGAAACACAAATAGACATTCCTCTAGAACTCTTTGCTTTTTGACAAGATTCATCTGACATTAGTGGTTATGTCTCTAGTGCCATCAATTTCCTCATCTTTGACCTTAGTTGTGGAATAATGCTTGTATAGTACCTACTGCTCACAGCATTGTACTTGAGGATGGATCTGGAAATGGACTTTTTTATTAAAATGCAACCCCATTTTCTTTATTGTTCATTCTCAGTATAGCAGAGTATATGATTGTAGAAGTCTTTTTTTCCATCTTTGGCATTAGTCATTGGTGTGTATATTTGAATGACAGTTTTACTAACAGGTATTCCTTGTTTGTGTATGGATAATATCACTGTACTTCAGTACAGATCTTGAAATGTTCTGTTTTTGCTTTGTTTTTGTTTTTTTTTACTGTGAACACAATACCATTCTTCAATGTGTCATTCAAGGTATAATAGATCATACATTTCTCTGATTAAAAGCAGCCAATACCAGTCAGTCCATGTCAGCTTATAAATGCCTGGGATGTCAATCTTTGTACATTCCATTTAATTTTGATAACTTCCAATTCTCATACATAACATGTTCTAATTATAATGGATTTTTTAACAGTTTCTCCTCATTTTTATACACTGTAATGTTAAGTATACAAAATAAAGACATACAAACTCCTCAGAGCTCTAGAATTTTTTTTCTAGCACCTTTCTCAAATAAAAAAAGCACCATGTGACCTGCTGCCTTAGATAAAACAAACCATTGCTATGTGCACAGGTAACATCAGCCATATTCTGATGGCTACTGAGGAGTAAAGCTGACTGACTCAGGCCACTCTCTAGGTGATTATTGAGACTCAGAGCATTGGAGAATGGGAGCACATTCCCTCCCCCTGTTGTCTACTATCTCTTTTCTTAGACTCAGAGAGCTTATGATGGCCTATTTGGTAGGGGGTTACACTGCTAACCCAAAGGCTGCACCTCTCTGGTGATGACAACTCACCAACAGCTCTCTTTTGTAGAAAAATGGAAAATCTCCTTCTGTGTGAGTTTTAGCTCCCCAAAACCCATTAGAGGGTTAACTATGAGTCAGTATCAATTTGACAGCAGTTGATCTTCAATTTTTAAAATTTTTATTTATTTCTAGCTGTTTATAAGAATCAATGCGGGGTTACATCTAGTTATTCTGTATTGTATTCTGTATTTTTAACAAGTGCTCAGGAATTTATTTTGGCAGTATAGCAATGATGATGAAGGGCAAAGCTAGGCATTCTCAATCTACATTACCAGTCTATCCAAGAGATTCTGATGTGTCCTACCAGCCTAATAATGTCCCATTCTCAACAGAATCTAAAGATAAAATACAAGATGGACGAGAGATTGGGATTATAATTTACCTGTTGGAAATTCATTGTCCTGAACTTCATTTGAACCATCTATGGCAAAAGCAGAGTAAAAATAAATTATCAAATAATATGTCTTTTATTAACAAAAAGAATTCAGAACCCTCCCTCTTACTAAGAAGCAATTTCTCCTAATTGTTCAAAATAGAACTTTTTTACTTTATGCGTTCCCTCTTTTCCCCCAAATCCAATCTGTTGTTAAATCCCGCAGTTTCTACCTCCGTAATGAAACTCGCAATCATCTCCCTCCATTTCTCTCCATTCCAAATCTGGAAGAAGGGGGAAAGAAAAGAGTCAGATTGATTTCATTTCATCAACATTTCAGAATTTTTCCATTAAAAATAGGGCTATAATAGTTGTAAAAATAACAAGGGCCACATGTGGACAGCCATATCTGACTTTTACCAACTTCACAAAGGGGAACTGTACCCATCAACAGCATCAACACAAAACCATTCCCAGAAGATACGATATGTCCCCCATGCTCCCACCCTCTTTCTACACATCCCAGCTCCAATCTTACTGTTTTCCTACATCCAAAATCCAATGTGGTGGCAAACAGAATGGACAGACCATATTGGGGAAGTAAAAAAGCTGTCATTCAGGTTAGTAGCAGTATAGAGTCAGGACAGCTTCCAACGTGTCTAAGCCTCGTGGCTTTAAACCAGTGGTACAAAGTTTTCAGTTATGTCAATATTGCCCCAGCCCCACCTTCAACATGCCTTCAGCAAACTTGGGCAAAGGCTCTGAGCTCTTAGGGGTTAGCTGTCCCAGGACCAGATCCATCTCATACTATGTCTCTGCTCCTCTGCTTTAGCCATGGCTGCTACTGCCAAAGGTCTGTCTGACACAAGAGCGAGAAAAACAGGCTACATACTCCTCCTCCTCCTTGGCTGGTTGTTGTTGTTGTTATGTGCCATTGAGTCACCTGTGACTCATAACCCAGTGCACAAGAGCCCTAAACCCTGCTCTATCCTGTGCTAATCTCACTATCTTTGACGCATTACCCCAGTCACTGAATCAATCTATCTCATCAAGCGTCTTCCTCTCCTGCGCTGTCCCTCTACCCTCTCAAGCATGACATCCTTCTCCAAGGACTGGTCCCTCCTTGCAACATGTCCAAAGTATGTCAGATGAAGCTTCAGAATCCTTGCCTCCAAGGAGCAGCCTGGTTTCACCCTCTCTAGGGCAAATCTATTTGTCCTTCTAGCAGTCCATGGTATATTCAATACTCTTCACCAGCAACACAGCTCAAAGGCATCAATTCACCTTTTATCATCCCTAGTCCTTGTCCAGCTCTCGGATTCACAGCAAATGACTGCAAAGACGATGGCCAGTATCAGGTGTACCTTAGTCTGTATTCTGACATTGTTGTTCTTCAGCTCTAACAGCAGACTTTCCCATCACAATAGGTCTTTTAATTTTCTGGCTACTAGTGCCAAAAGTGCTGACTGTGGAGCCAAGCAAACTAAGGCTGTGAATAATCTCAATCTCTTCACCATCTATCATGATGCTGTCAATCATCCCACTCATGAGAATCTTTGTTTTCTTGATATTGAACCTTAATCCATATTGAAGGCTGTAGTCCTTGACCTCCTGTAGCAAGTGTTTCAGGTCCTCCTCAGTTTCAGCAAACAAGATTATGTCATCTGCATAAGGCAGATTGTTGATGAGTCTTCCTCCAATCATGATGCCACATTTCTCCTCATAGAGCCCAGCCTCCCAGAAAATCTGTTCTGCATATAGATTGAAAAGGTATGGAGACAGGACACATCCCTGGTGTACACCCTTCCCAATTTTGAATCGTGCAGTGTTTCCTTGCTCTGTTCTGATGACTGCCTCCTGGTCCAACTATAGGCTTCACATTAGCATGATCAAGTGTTCTGGGATAATAATGGGTGACTGGACTGAAGAATCAGTAGTTGAAAACATGGACTTGGTGACAGAAATGAGCTGGAGACAGAATGGTAAGAATTTTGCACACTCCACAATTTATTAATTGCAAATACATTTTATAAGAAACATAAACACAAGTAATACACACGGATTTCAACTGATGGTATGCATAGGAATCAGACTGATTACATCTGTAGAAAGAAAGGAGAAACTCAAAATCAGCTGTGAAAACTAGGCCAGGTGCTGACTGTTGAACAGACCATCAACTATTCATATGCAAGTTCATGAAGCTATAGAAAATTAAAGCAAATCCACCAGAACCAAAATATCACCTTGAGTCTATCCCATCTGAACTTCAAAACCATCTCAGGAACAGTTTGAGGCCTTGAACACAAACGAGTGAAGACTAGATGAGTAATGGGAGGATATCAAGAATATCATCCAGGAAAAGGATGCAAAAGGTCTGTACAAAGAGGACAAAGAAAAGACCAAAATGAATGTCAAAAGAGATTGAATATTGCACTAAAGTCACAGAAGCCAAAGCAGAGGGAAGAAATCAAGATATTAAGGAGCTGAACAAATGATGTCAAAGGGCAGTGCAGCTAGACAAAGTAAAGTATTATAATGAAACGTGCAATGAACTAGAGTCAGAAAATCAAAAGGGGCCAAACTCGCTCACCATTTCTTATGCTGAAGGAATTGAAGAAGAAATTCAAGCCTCAACTTGCAGTATTTAAGGATGGTTTGGGCAGAATATTAAATTATCCAGGAAGTATAAAAGAAGATAGAAAGAGTATACAGAGTATTTGTACCAGCACAATTTCCTCCTTTTCCCCCTCCCCCTAGTCCACTAAGCAATGCAACTCTTATACTAGTCGATTGTCATACATATAATGCCTAATGATATATTCCTTTTAAACAGTTCTTTCCTTTATCTCTTCCAATGTAATGCTCATTATCTATCCACACTTACTGTTGGACTTTTGACACAAGTAAAAGCATTATCCAAAATATAAATTAGATTCAAACCTAGAGTTGCTGTAATCAAGGATGCTTTGGGCAAAATATTAAATGATCCAGGAAGTATTAAAAGAAGATGGAAGGAATATACGGAGTCATTATATAGAAAGGAATTGGCAGATACAGAGGAATTTAAAGAAATAACATATGAGCAAGAGCCTATGGTGATGAAGGAAGAAGTTCAAGCTGCTTTGAAGGACATAGCAAAAAATAAGGCCCCAGGAATAGATGGTATACCAATTGAAGTATTTCAGATAACAGATGTTGCCCTGGATGTGCTCACCAAGTTGTGCCAAGAAATCTGGAGAACAACCACTTGGCCAACTGACTAGAAGAGATCTATATTTGTTCCCATTCCAAAGAAAGGTGACCCAACTGAGTGTGGAAACTACAGAACAGTGTCATTGATTTCACATGCAAGGAAGATTCTGCTGAAGATCATCCAAAAACGATTAGAACAGCACATCAGCAGAGAACTGCCGGAAGTCCAGGCTGGGTTTAGAAGGGGTCGCGCTACTAGGGATATTGTTGCTGATGTTAGATGGATCTTGGCTGAAAGCAGAGAATACCAGAAGAATGTCTATCTGTGTTTCATTGATTATGCAAAGGCATTTGACTGTGTGGATCATAACAAACTGTGGCTGACTCTGAGAAGAATGGGAATCCCAGAACATTTAATTGTGCTAATACGAAACCTATACTTGGACCAAGAGGCAGTAGTCAGAACAGAGCAGGGTAACACTGCATGGTTCAAAATTGGGAAGGGTATACGCCAGGGATGCATCCTGTCTCCATACCTTTTCAACATGTATGCAGAGCAGATTATCCAAGAGGCTGGGCTCTATGAGGAGAATTGTGGCATCAGGATTGGTGGAAGGTCTATTAACAATCTCCGTTATGCAGATGACACAACCCTGCTTGCTGAAACTGAGGAGGACCTCATGCACTTGCTGCGAAGGGTCAAGGACTGCAGCCTTCAGTATGGACTGAGGCTCAATGTCAAGAAGACAAAGATTCTCACCACTGGACCAATTGGCAGCGTCAGGATGGATGGCGAAGAGATTGAGAGTGTTCACAGCTTCACTTTGCTCGGCTCCACAGTCAACACTCTTGGCACCAGCAGTCAGGAAATCAAAAAGCGTATCACGATGGGAAAATCTGCTGTTAGGGACCTCTCTAGAGTACTCAGGAGCAACAGTGTCTCTCTGGAGACTAAGGTGCGCCTGATACAGGCCATGGTATTTGCAATCGCTTGTTATGCATCAGAGAGTTGGACAATGACTAGGGAGGACAGAAGGAGAGTGGATGCTTTTGAGCTGTGGTGCTGGAGAAGGGTACTGAATGTACCCTGGACTGCCAGGAAAACAAACAGATCCATCTTGGAGAGGATTAAACCAAGCTGCTCCTTGGAGGCAAGGATTCTGGGGCTTCGTCTGACATACTTTGGACATGTTGCCAGGAGGGACGGGTCCTTGGAAAGGGACTCATGCTTGGGAGGGTGGAGGGACAGCACAGGAGGGGAAGACCCTCTATGAGATGGATTGATTCAGTGACTGGGGTAATCGGGATGGGTGTGTCAGAGGCGGTGCAGTTGGTGCAGGATAGAGCAGGGTTTAGAGCTGTTGTGCATAGGGTCGCTATGAGTCAGAAACGACTCGATGGCACATAACAACAACAACAACATCTAGAAATTTAAAGCAATAAATAGCTATTTTAAAAATTAAGATCTAAAAAATTCAAAATCTACAGCTTGAGAAAAGAATAAGCTAAAAAACAAAGCAAATAGCAGGGGGGAAAGCTAAATATCAAACAATAAATAAATACATAAATGAGAACAAGAGAATTTCATAGTGACCCTATAGACAGCAGATCTGAATCCTACCCTATTTTGCATGATCCTCACCATTTCTGATATACTTGAACCTACTATTAGAGTCATTGTGTCAATCCACATAATTAAGAGTGTTCCTCTCCTACAATGACCCATCTCTAAGGACTGGCCCCTCCTAACAATATGTCCAAATTAAGCGAGATGAAGCTTCATTGTCTTTGCTTCCAAGAAGCACCTTGGTTACACTTTCTCCAAGATAAACTTCTTTGTTCTTTTGGCAGTCCATGGGATATTCCAACTCTCAGATACATAGCAAACAACTGAGAAGACCATGGATTGGATCAGGTACATCTTTGTTTCTGGACTGAGATCGTTGCTCTTTAGGACTCGGGAGTGGTTCTTGACAGCAGACTTTCCTAAAGTCTTTTGATTTCCTGACTGCTAGTTTGAAACCCCTATGTACAGTAGAGCACACTTAGAGCATACACCAGGCTGACCCCTCAAATTTGGAAACACAAAGGA